GTCAAGCAGACTGAATAAATCAGTCGTCGACGTACTGACTACTTATAGGCATTTGGAAATAAGTAGTAACTTTGCATCAGACATAAATATTTTGACTACACTTCAGTTTCATCAATTTCATCGTTTTCTTCCTTTTTTCGTTTCGAGTGGAACAAAGGGATTAAAGCTTCAGTTCTGAAGTTTCAGTTGCGGTAGTGTTGCCTTTAACCGGGATTTGGTTGCTGGACTCATACCCAGCTTTCCCTTTTAGCCAGGCTAATCACCGGTTATGTGAGGTTTTGGAGCTCGTCAGCTGGGAATGCAACTCAGACTTTTGGCTTGGTTGGCGAACATTCTACCATGTACTATAGACAATAAATTCTCTTTGTATTATAACACGTCAGTGATTCCGTGATCCAGATACGATTCCCAAGTGACTCCCTCGTCGTTTTCTAGCTGGTAGTAAGCCCAGTAAAGGTGGAAGGTTAGCCGTGAGGCTAATAACTCCATCCCGTGAAAATAATACCATCACCGATACTGAAACTTCAAGCAGTTTGAAGTCTTCTTGTTTTATACTCACAAAGCAAAAGAGATGCTTTTTTGAGTATGTTGGACATGAGTCATAAGCAGAGAAAAATAAGAAACGTCATTCATTTTCGTACGGATAGGTATTAAATGAAGAATTAATGCTTTTAATGGTAGCTACTGAGTGAGAGTCTCAATGGAAACATAATCCTTCATCGGGTTTTTGGTACATTCGGCGGAAGATGTACACTGGATTTTGTTTCCAGTAACCGACTGAATAACATCAAAATAAATTCAGAAAAGTGCATAATTTCATTTCAAGAAGATAATTAGTAGCCAATATAGTCATGTTAATTTCTATAGTAATGTCGTCCTCGCAGACAATGGCGTTTACATACTTAACTAGCTAAGAAGAATTAACTTAGCTTAGACATGTAGAAGGGCGTCGGTAGGTTAACGGTAAAATGTCCACCAATCACACACGTAGTCCCAGATTAGAATCCCTGTTGACTCACTGCTTTGCCTCGCTAAGCTGGTAAAAAGACCAGTAAAGAGGGAAGGCCGGACAAGAGGCTAGCAACCTCACCTCGTCAAAGAACCATCAATGCTACTGGAACTTCAAAGCTTTAGATTGGAGCCCTATATTCCACTGGGAACCTGAAGGAATAAAAGAAGGTGTAAGCGTCATCTCAGTATTTTTAATCTAAATGCGAACATTACTATGAAATAGGATAAATATGTGCAAACTGTGCATACATGTAGGTCCATTAGGATTTAAACCCCTGTCCTGTATCCGTTCGAATCATACATACATACTTCAGTCAGGATGGCTTAGATACGGTTGATTATTTTTTATCTATTGTTCAACGCTGTTTAACTTGTGTATAAATTTATACTACTTACTAATAGTAAGTAGTATGAAAATTTTTGTCTTGTTTATCATTTTCGAAACCATAGTTAATGACTTTCAATAGAATTAAACACTCACTAATTGTATAAATTTTCTATTTCCTCTGGTGTAATTATTTTCTTATTTCTTTCTTTATGTTTCACTCTCTGTTGAATACTGTTCAATTGGATCTCTTCATTCACACGTTTTATTTTTATTACTGTGGATCATCTTTACCACAGCTCTGATGTTCATCATATATTGATGCACAATCACAGGGCATTTGATGGCATACAGCCTAGACACCTCACAGTCGAACTCAAACGATTGGTTCAATTATAATTGAAAGTTTGACAACAGATCGATGCTCCAGATTATTTTGAGGAAATCTATGGATAGTATCGTGTGCATTGATGTCACTGCAGTGAGACGATCAAATTTACTATATCACTTTTGTTTTTGTGTTTATTCTGCATTCTGGTCCAGATCAATCAGTTTTCATTTTACATGTGAAAAATGATGTGGAATTTTCTCTCAAAGAACTAAAAAATAACAAGAGCAAACGAGTTCTCCGCCTTTTATCCCCACATCTTTCAATTAGTTTTGATTACTCCCAATTAATAAACTTTCGTCACGAAACAACATCAGTTAGAGAAACCATTAAGGAACAGGATGCAGTGAGCAGATGTGCATTCCTAGTTTGGGACCCTATTCGCAGTTCGCATCCACGACCCTGTCAGATATCAAGCCCTGGACGGTTGGGTTACAAGATCAGATTTGTTGACCCTTCTGTCACTTGGTTTGGTACTCAGGGACCCATGAAGTCTAACTTTGTGAACTCGTGATATGATGCCACTCTCACCAATGCCTTCAATGATCATCCACTTCAACCTACCGGTCATGAACTCCTATTGCAGATTCAGAAAATCCATCCAGGAGCCATCATTGAGCTGGCAGCTGATATTATGATTATAGGATTTGTTCAGTAATCCCTGGTTTTCAATAATATCTGTAACTGATGTTTATTCATGATGAAAATCAAACAATCGAAATTAATTCGAAATCCTGACAAATCCTATAATTTGGATATCCTTTTGGTTACACTAACTCATTCCTTTTGATCTAACCACAATCATACCTGCAGTTTTTGATACTTTCTTGGTTAATTGGTCCTAATAACTTCTCCTTTTTTTGAGTTTTGGGTAGTCGTATTCGGAAATGACTTTAAAAGTTCTCTCAATATACACTTATCTATTTTTCGACTGGTTTTATTTAACTGATTGATGTAATTTTGTTTGCCATGTAAGTACTGAAGTGTGTGACTAACTTAGTTTCTGTGTAGAACTTTGCACAGAAGCGAGGCACTTCGACTTACAACACTCCACTTGGTTAGGCTTGGGATTATTCTAACTTTCTTTCATTTTAAGTTAAATCTTGCCTTCGTGAATGAGACTGATTCACAGTGCATACGAGCTCTGGCTAATTTTGGTGAAAATATAACAGCTACTCCCTAAGTGTATTCATATTTATCGTTTTGGTTACCGGAGTGGAGTACTGACTCTGTAGTTAGCAATTTTGACAGTTGAGCTCCAGTCGGTTCGCTCTTGCAGATTCCTACAACTTCTAGACCGCCATATCTCCTTATTTCGTTTGAAATCTGAGCAACCTTGTCAGCCAACCTCAAATATCGTGCGAAAATTCCATGTTGCCATGCTTAATTTTACTTCCATCCGTAGAATGCACTTGGGCTGACTAGTTACCCGGTTTCCGAGAAGAAAAATTTCCTTTGTAAACCTTTTTATTTGTGCTTTGAAGTTTTTGCAGCGATTGGGTTGATTCTCCGGGTGCCTAAGGTGGCCAGCCTCATGCCCGATCTTCCCTACTTCTCGGGCTTAGGACGGGCTAGTAAACCAAGCGTGGTTTCTAAGTATGTATGAAAGCGTCGTTTCACAAAATTGCATGATATTTAGCTATACTACTTATGAGTAGTTAAAGTGACAAAGAATATTTTCAACCTTCCCAATTGGATCCTCATGAAAAGTATTCCCATTATGTTAGTGTAGACTTGCACCAACAGATGCTTTTACTTAATGTAGAAGATCAGATGATCGTCCAGCCAGAAAACGTAAACAAAATGTAAAGAGATGTTACAGTCAGCAGCGAACCGCCTTACGGTAAGTCGAGATATACGAATTCTACTAACCTTTCCGGCAGCGGCTCTGAGTTGGAAAGACGAGATCCAGTTGTTCTACTGACTATTTAATGAATTATAGGTGTCATTTCTAATGGTTTCTGTATCGCACAGAACACGAGCTAAGTAGGGTATGGTTAAGTTTTTGTACTTGCTGGTGCGAGCATATAGTTTTCTACATTGGCTTCTGGTTTCACCTGATGAGATGCAAGGTGGGAGAGTTGTGAATGAAGAGGGTGGTGTGAGTTAGATAAAGTGGATTTAACCCATTTTTCACATGAGTCCATTTGCCTGTCAACTAGTTTATTAACAAGCTGGCTAAGTGGCACGCTGCTCACCCTGCTGACAACCTTTAACATCCTGCATAATAAGGTATAGTCTTTCTTCAGTAGCCTGGGAAAAACTAAGGGGGAACAATAGAGAATAATAGGCAGAATGCGAGAGTTAACGAATTGTAAGAGTAAGGGTTGGGTAATACCAGAATGTTTTAACTTCTTAATGTAGAAGGTAAGACGGAATATTTTCTCAGAAATTGCTAAGATATGAGACGACCAGGAGAGATCAGCAGATAGAATGACGCCTAGGTATTTAATTTCCGACTTGGTTTCTATTTCAGTGCCATCTATGTTGCACACCTCGTGAGAATCAACCAGTTTGTTTAAGTCAGGTTCATGCCTAAAGGTGAAATTGACTGTCTGGCACTTGGAGGGGTTTAAGGTAAGACCGTTTTCCTTGGACCACTGGCTGATTTAGAGCAGTCACTTTGACATTTGACAGGCAAAGATACAGTCAGGTCATCAGCATATTTGACAAAATTAATATCATTTGAAGATGGTAAGTCATATAGAAAGAAAGAAAAGAGAAGTGGGGAGAGTACAGCACCTTGGGGGTCACCAGCTTCAATGGGCACAGCAGAGGAGGATTTACCTTTGTATACGGTGTACTGCATTCTGTTAGAGAAGTAGGAAGGCAACCAGTTAGTGACTCATTAGATAATTAGCATATACAAAACCGATTACTATATCAAACAAAGGAACCACTATCAGCTGGGATTTAAGCTTGAAGGTGAATTCATTGTTAACAGAAATTGAAATAAATAACAAAGACACAAAAGGACTTTTCTTTTTGTTGATTTTGATTTGTTCTTCTTTGCCTGACTGATACAATTCAGTCTGCACCAAAGAAAGGACTAGACACATGACACTAGTTTCTAACTAGTGTCCAATCAAAGCAATCTCAACACTATCTATCTATCTATCTATATATATAATCTCAGCTTGCCATTGTTATTAAGATCTTTTATTGATTTATAAAATTTAAACTCCTCTATCGACCGCTGACCTGAAATATATGCCCTAATGTAAATACATAAATATAAAGGCGAAATGGGAAGATAACGTACTACCATACGTTAAAATGTATAACACTTTCAATTCAACTACACAAGATATTGAAAACAAAGGCATTCATCACATTATAGATAAACATTATGATCAAAAATATTACAAAGAATTAAATACAATCCAACCAGATTTTACTGATATGTCATTAGAACAGTTAAAAATAGCTCATTGGAGAGGATATTCACAAGTATGTGTCCAGGATGCTTATACACCACAATCAGAATATCGTGCACAATTTCAAGATTTTATAAAAGATTCAAAATCTTATCAAAAAATAAAACCTTATTGTATATGTTCAATGGCTAATCCAATAACTATTGTTGGGATGGATATATCAAGGCTGTATACTAAAAAATGTGATTTGAAACGCCCACAAACAGAAAGTGATTTAAACAAACAACCTGATGGAACAGCTAAGTGATGAATTGTGTTTAACTGTATTAAACAAAATAAAAAGAAAATTTAATGACGACCAAGGAAAGCTGTGCAATTCACATATGCCTCTAGAAATGTTGCGTAATTCTTTTGAAGAAATATTTCAAACATGACGTGGTCCTTATGATAAATATTCTGTAATGTTGATTTGTGTTTTTACACAAAGATCTTTTCCTCATTTCTTCTCTATTAAAATATAAATTAATTTATAAAACACAAAATAATCGAGCAAAGAATATTCTTTTCGATAAATTCCTCTTCCAGGCTCTACAATTATATATCTGCATGTTTATATACACAGAATATTTTAAATTAGTAGTTAATAACAATATTAGCGTTTTTTTAAATAATATCGATTTGTAAAGTATGGTCAATGCTATTGCAGTTCATTAAAGATGCTTAAATTATAATAATAATAAAGATATAACAGCGAATAGAATATCAACTAAAATTAGGGAAATTTCACAAAAATTCTGGATTATCTCACTTGTGTTGTCTCCTAGGAACTGCATCTGTAAGAACAAGGCTTTCTTTGGAACTGTTGGTAACTTGGACTGTTTTGGTTTTAGATTCATATTCTTATCAATAAACTTTTCGGGATAACCATTCTCACTTAGCAACCGTTTAATATTGTTAAGCTCCTCGTCAAGACATTCATCCGAGCAAATCTCTCTTGCTCTGTGGACCAAGCACTTTATTAGATTGCGTTTGTATTTCAAGGGCACAAAGCTGAGAAAATGTGTGTACTGGCCCGTTGATGTAGGTTTTCTATAAACACTTCTTCTTATTGTGCCATCCTCTTTTCTGGTCATAAGGACGTCTAGAAATGAAATACCAGAGTCTTTCTCTTTCTCAATAGTAAAATTTATTGCAGGATGTACCTCATTAAATTTATCCAGGATGTTCTTTGCCTCCTTTTCGTTCTTCATAATCAAAAAAGTATCATCCATGTATCGACAATAAAATTAGATATGCTAAATTCACCATACCATCCGGTAGCCAAATGTTTAGTTGAACTCTTACAGCCCCTTCATACTGAGTTGGTGAAACATAGTGTAAAGGATGCATTTGGATTCGTTGAAAGGATAAGAGATTTAAATGTTGATAATAAATTCATGATATCATTTGACGTATCTTCTTTATTCACTAATGTAACTCTCATGGAGACAGTGGACTTTATATGTGAAGAACTCAAAAGACGAAACATCGAGATTGGCATTCCTATATCTTTTATGAAGGAGCTTCTCTTGAAATGTACAATGAATGTCCACTTTTTATTTAATAAGGAACTGTATAGACAAATCGACGGTGTGGCAATGGGGTCGCCACTAGGACCCATTCTAGCCGACATTTTCTTGGCGAAACTAGAAAATGGGCCTTTTAAAGATGTTATTAATGAACTCGAATTTTATTGTCGATACATGGATGATACTTTTTTGATTATGAAGAACGAAAAGGAGGCAAAGAACATCCTGGATAAATTTAATGAGGTACATCCTGCAATAAATTTTACTATTGAGAAAGAGAAAGACTCTGGTATTTCATTTCTAGACGTCCTTATGACCAGAAAAGAGGATGGCACAATAAGAAGAAGTGTTTATAGAAAACCTACATCAACGGGCCAGTACACACATTTTCTCAGCTTTGTGCCCTTGAAATACAAACGCAATCTAATAAAGTGCTTGGTCCACAGAGCAAGAGAGATTTGCTCGGATGAATGTCTTGACGAGGAGCTTAACAATATTAAACGGTTGCTAAGTGAGAATGGTTATCCCGAAAAGTTTATTGATAAGAATATGAATCTAAAACCAAAACAGTCCAAGTTACCAACAGTTCCAAAGAAAGCCTTGTTCTTACAGATGCAGTTCCTAAGAGACAACACAAGTGAGATAATCCAGAATTTTTGTGAAATTTCCCTAATTTTAGTTGATATTCTATTCGCTGTTATATCTTTATTATTATTATTATAATTTAAGCATCTTTAATGAACTGCAATAGCATTGACCATACTTTACAAATCGATATTATTTAAAAAAACGCTAATATTGTTATTAACTACTAATTTAAAATATTCTGTGTATATAAATATGCAGATATATAATTGTAGAGCCTGGAAGAGGAATTTATCGAAAAGAATATTCTTTGCTCGATTATTTTGTGTTTTATCGATGTCTGAATAAATTAATTTGTAAATTATATTTTCATTTTAATCAAATAAAAGTGTTCATTGAACATTTAACAAATGACCTTGAGTAAATGTTTTAATGAAGCTGAAAAGCGCATACATTTGGGATTGGTTTGATAATTTCATTTATTTCTGTTGACGAAGAAATTAGCGTTACATTATCAACTGGTATTTTAGTTATGAGAAATTCTGATAAAATGTTATGACAGTTAAAATTGTATTTTTACTCATGGAATTATAATTCTGTTTTATACTCCCCGGCCGACGCAAATATTTACCTCGCTAAGCCAGAAATAATGCTGGTGAAGAGGAAAGATTGGGCATGAGGCTAGCAACCCCATCCTGTAAAAATAAACACTGCTACAGAAACTTCAAGTAGAAAAAAATACTGCGATATTGGATAGTATGTACCAGCAGAATGCAAGACAGGGAAGCAAAAACATATTTTTCATTAATCAAACCACTATTCATATCAATGCAGTTTATATTCTTTAACCAATCACTTGGCGTGTGATTTTGGTTTACATTAAACGACATGAAATAGAATGTTCAAATACATATATAGTATTCTGTTGCTAATGCAGTATTGAACTGTGGGAATAGTATTCAGACGTTAACACCAACAAATACAATGATTCTTACTGTGAGAATAAAATTCCGTTGGAACCCATTGTCTGTATCACACCACAACAAGTATACATTCCATCTGTGATATTGGATTGGGTCTTTTATCAGATACAGACTGGATACATCGCTAAGTTAAACGGTATTATTTGGTGAGTGACGTTTCGAAGACAATTTACTGCCCACATAACCATACCATCAGTTGTAACTGCACAACTTCGAAATTTGATTTTTCTATAGTTTTCATTTTTCCTTTTTATTTATCGTAAGTGCAGTAAAGTCTTTCAGATGTCTGCGATGGATGTGTAATAATTCTTAATGCACGCGTAATCATCATTTGATTCGATAAAACTTTAGTTATCAGTCCCTTCCTCCATCACAGTGCCCAAATTTTACACAGATATAAATATTAGTCATCAGATGTCTTTTTGGTTAAATCTTATTATTATGTTATTATTATTCCCTTGGGTTCTAAATGGGACTGAGGGCTTCAACAACAAATGACTACTTTCTTCTATTCTCCGCTGTCCTCTTCAGCAGGCTAGCCATACGATTGCCCATTATCTCTGATCTCCTCCATGTCAAACTCACACCGATGACCCACTCGCCGCTTCTCTTTCAGTTTCCATTACAGCGACGGTCTGCATAGCGCGCGATGTCATTCGACGGCCTCTTTAACGTATGCCCGATCCATCTCTATTTTCTTGGAAATATTTGTTGAACGATAGGTTCTTGGTTGGTTTGTTCATAGCCAGAGTTTCTTGTTACTAGTTCTTTCTGGCGGGCCGGCCGACCATTTGATCTTCAGTATGTAGCCAGCCAGCGAAGGTGGCAGCTGTTGATAGAAGTCTGCAACAGGCTGTTAGAAATGCTTTTTGTGACACGTGGCAATAGTTTCTGACTCGTATAGAAACAATGACTGACTTCACAGTTGTGTTGAAAATCCGAATCTTGTTGTTTATGCTGAGGCGGAGCTCACCGAAGAAGATTTCCAAACTGGTTTCAGACTGATGAAGGTGTATCTTGCCTTTCCAATTCTGGCTGGCTTTGACATCTTTATCCGTTCCACCTGTGATTGAAACGATGCTTCCCAGATAATTGAAGGAGGTAACCTCTGTTAAATCTCTCCCATTGATGGTGACTGGTGCTCGTTGTTGTTGCTGCAGTCAGTTGCTTAGTTGTTTATCTTCATCAATCCTGTCTTCTCTATGTTCACCTGGAGTCCTGTCTACCTTCTCTGCCAGCTTCTTCAGCTAGTTTGTTGGTTTTCGCCCGCATCTGAGAAATCCAGATATTTTCGAGTCTTCTTGTCGGTTCAGAATACCGTCGGTGATAATAGGCAGCCAGCAGTCTTACTCCTATATTCACTTTAAGCGCCTCGCTGAGTTTCCGTTGTGGATCACGTGACAAGTGGCTATAAATGAACTTTTCTCATTCGTTTAAGATTATTAATATATATATATATATATATATATATATAAGTAGTTACTTCGCTAATGAAACTTTTAATATAAAATAAAGGTCCAGCCGCTGAATTCATGTCACATGTTATTGAAGAGTATTTCTTTAAATCTCGTCAACATTCAGGAATATTTTAGCACCATTATTATATTATTGTAATTCCCTTGGGTCATAAGTGGAACACACGGCTTCAACAGCCAATCCCGATTTTTTCTTGTTCTCTGAAGCGCTCTTTAGCTATTTCCACGAATGACTATTGAAGTTTTCATTTCCTTCCCATTTAATCTTCCTAAAGATCATCCTTGGACTGCAAACGTGTCGATTCTCAATCACGATCCACTCGAGAGCCTGAGGTATGATATCACTCAACGGTATCCTCAGTTTATGTCCAATGCAGCTCCATTCACTTCGGCGTATTTGTGGAGGAATAGATTCTTGGTTCATAAATGCCCAGAGTTTCTTGTTGCTAAGTCCTTCTGGCCATCTGATCTTCAGTACAGAGCGCAGGTAACTGTTAATGACAGTTTCCTTTTCATGACTCTTCAAGTCCCAGAGACATGTATAGAAGAAATGACTTGACATTAGAAGATATGTTGTGGAATGCATCACATAATCCCTATTGGTTTGGTGATTAAAGAGATTTCAGTGTGAGTGAAGACAGGTAGTTTACGTTGCTATTTTTACGAAATGTTTCCCACTAAACTGGTCTTATTCATTAGGGTATTGAATTTAATAAATCATTTGATGAAATCAAGAAAACTTAGTCATTCTTCACTATCATACATAATTGGAATAGAAGTAGTAGTAGTTCGGTGTGTACTACTGAAAAGGTTTATAAGTAGTATATAG